CGGTGGCCACTGGGTGTGTTCTTGGGGTGGCCACTGGGTGTGTTCTTGAGGTGGCCACTAGGTGTGTTCTTGGGGTGGCCACTTGGTGTGTTCTTTAGGTGATCACTGGGTGTGTTCTTTAGGTGATCACTGGGTGTGTTCCTGAGGTGGCCACTAGGTGTGTTCTTGGAGTGGCCACTGGGTATGTTCTTGAGGTGGCCACTGGGGGTGCTCTTGATGTGGCCACTGGGGGTGCTCTTGATGTGGCCACTGGGGGTGCTCTTGAGGTCGCTGCTGGTTGTGTTTTTGAGATGGCCACTGGATGTGTTCTTGATGTGGCCTCTGGGTGTGTTCTTGAACTGGCCACTGGGTGTGTTCTTGATGTGGCTGCTGCAGGTGAGATTGACTAGAATGTGATGTATATGAATATATGTGTATGAGATAAACTGCATTATATTGCTATAAAATAAAATCTTCACAATTAATTAATTTTTTGTACAATACCTTCCTAATTGCAGGTTTGTGTTAACTCGTTATTCCTATGTGCAACCGTTGGGTCGTGACAAGCCACCACATGCAGCCGCACACTACCTTTATGGATCCAAGGTGTGTACATGTACATGAATCAGATCAAGACCAAGTGTTTGTTATTGAATAAATATTCATATCATTACCTCTCTGTGAGTTGCCTTAAATATTTTCTATTGGCCATTATATGGTGAAGTATAATTTGAGTCTTTTAATTTTCAGGCTCTTAATAGTGCTTATACCAATATTTACAGTCTTTACAATAATTTTGTGGGGGCACCACATTTCGAGGCCATTGTTCGTCTTCTTGGTTACCAGGGTATTGCTGTGGTGATGGAGGAACTTCTTAAAATTGTGAAGAGCTTGGTAAGTTCACTACATTATCATCCATATACATTTTACAGATTAGATCAATGGTTCATTTAACAGTCTACATCATTCGCTCAGTCAGCAGGCCACAACATTGGCTGATTTTGCAGGTCAGATATTGGTGTATTTGCCAGTCCATGTCATTGCCTCATTTGAAAGACCATGTCATTGGTTCATTTGATAGACCACACCATTGGTTCATTTTGGCAGACCACGTCACCAGTCCATCTGGCAGACTGTGTCATTGGTTCATTTCGCAGGAACTTTTGTCATAAATATTAATTTCAAAATAAGTGTATAAGGTTTATGTATATATTACTTTGTTTGATTACCTTCCTCCAACCATTTTCTGTGCTGTTTTGTCATCGACAGCTTCAAGGTACTATTCTTCAGTATGTCAAGACATTAATGGAAGTCATGCCTAAAGTATGTAAATTACCCAAATATGAATATGGATCACCCGGTAAGGATTATTTAGAATTTTTTTTTTATTTTGTTGACCACTTTCTTTTGAATTTATGTATTCACGCCTGTTTTCTCACACCCGGCGTGACATACACTGACATGTCAGATAGTAATTCTATGTTTTTTGAACACAGGCGTCCTTGGCTACTACCACGCTCACTTGGAGTCAATTATCCAGTATGCTGAGCTCAAGACTGATGTGTTTCAGAGTTTCAGAGAAGTTGGCAATGCTGTTTTATTCTGTCTACTCATAGAGCAGAGTTTAGCGCAGGAAGAAGTCTGCGACCTCCTGCATGCTGCTCCATTCCAAAACATCATTCCAAGGCCTTTTGTTAAAGGTATGTGTGTTGTTGTGTATTGTACTTTCCTGAAATTATTTTGAATTGCAAAACTGTCTGTATTTGGGTTCCATCCATCTGTCCATCTATCACATCTCAGAAGTTCAGAGACCAATGGTACATGGTTGATACATGATGATATACATATGCCCCAGATTTTTTTTCTGTTCAGATACAAAATGGTCAACTGATGGCCATATTTGACCCCAAAATGGCCAAAAAATATATATTTATATGTGTGGCGCATTGTCACCAATTCTGTTCAAACTTAGAATATGAGTACCAGTAATATCTGTTGGCATACTGTTGGCAAATTGGTCGACTAGTGGCCATTTTAATTGTCAAAATTTCTTTTCATGCAGCCATTTTGAAACACAATTTTGAAAATTATAACTCTATACAGACTATTTCAAATATTAATATTATTTGATTATGCAAATGTATTCGATGAATCATGTTGTCATGGCAGCTCAAATTCAAATATTTTGAAAAATGAAAATTTTCCTGTCAAACATAATCCACAAAGACAATCAAAAGTCTGAGTCAATCAATTTATCTTTCAGATGGAGAGAAACTGGAAAGTAAGATGAAGAAATTGGAAGGAAAATATGCACCCTTACAAGTAGTACCAATAATAGAAAAGCTAGGAACTGCTGAGGTGAGGTGTTGAGTTTATTACGACTTGGGTTTTTTGACATGCACCTTCACAGTAAACTTGTGTTTACTGATGTCAAAAATAATTGTCAATATATATATATTTGTATTATATTTATGTCAGTTTTGAATGCTTGCTCGTAATGAGAGAAAATAAAGTTTATCAGCTTGTCTGCATTTGATGCATTGTCAGTAAAAGGTAAATTAAATTAAAAAGGTAAATTATTGAGTTTTCATAAAAACTACAGTATTCATTGTGGTCGATCAGTATTTGCAATTAAAAACATTGTATTATGTTAATTTGTACTTTGGTTTCTTCTTCGTAGCAAGCACAGATAGCAAGAGAAGGAGATTTGTTGACAAAAGAGAGACTTTGCTGCGGCCTAACAATGTTTGAGATTGTCTTGACACGGATAAAGACGTTTCTTGATGACCCTGTGTGGCATGGTGAACCCCCAGCTAATGGTGTAATGAATATAGACGAGTGTACTGAATTCCATCGGCTCTGGAGTGCTATACAATTTGTCGTTTGTCTGCCACTCAAACTAAACGAGTTCACTGTGGAGTAAGTAGAGCCTTGTTTTCACTCATCAACATTAGGCAGTGTCACCTCAGTGTTTGGCAGATAATGGCATTCAAGAACGTGTGTGAACACACAAAAAATGCCGTGGCAAACCAGTACTCAATATGCCCACTCAACAATAACAGAAATACACAGTATTCCCATGTGAAAAGCTCCCAATCCTGTTTATGTTTATCTACATATATCATTGTGAATGTAACACACTACTACCAGATAACTGCATGGGGCTGTACTATAAAAACGTAATCTTCTAAATGTATTATTCTATGTTAATTCTGACAGGGAATGTTTTGGTGAAGGTTTGAACTGGGCCGGCTGTGTTCTTATAGTGTTACTCACACAGCAAAGGCGGTTTGAAGCGCTTGATTTCTGTTACCACGTGCTAAGAGTCCAAAGGGTTGATGCGAGGGAAGACTCTGTCAAAGGCATCGTAAGTAAATTGATGGCTAATGCAAAGAAGTATTTGGTTAATACATGTATCTGTAGAACTCTACTTCTTTACTGATTTTTACTATTTTGTAGATATCACCTAGTCGATTCAGAGTCACTGATATTTTCATGACATTGTTGTTATATGCAATATAAACAGTGGCTTGATTAGGAATGAATATAATATGACATGTAATATATAAGGTGATAAATTCCCTGTGCCAATGAATGTGAAACCCTGCAATCTTGAAATCTCGTAATCTCGTACTGTTGTCACACCAGTGTATATTTGTTTGGTAATGTTGAATAACGCCAAGAAAGAGCTTTAGATGCTAGGCAATAAAAGTAGCATGAACAGCTTTTCTCTCATTTTTTTAGCTCCGCTGTCGACTTTGTCGAGCGGAGCTTATCATATGAGTGATTGTCCGTCGTCGTCGTTCGTGTCAATGTTTTACTTTTTCGACTTCTTCTTGAAAACTACAAGCCTGAATGCTTTGATACTTGGTGTATATGTACCTTGGGTAGACCTCTCTCAGATTTGTTCATTTCATGATGATATCTTCAATTCTCTAATTTTGGTGAATATTTTTTGTCAATTTTGGTAAAAAGTGATATTTTCAACTTCTTGTTAAAAACCGCAAGTCCAATTGCGTTGATATTACATTTATAGGTACTACATGTGGACCTCTCTCAGATTTGTTCATTTTATAATGATATCTTTAATTCTCTAATTTTGGTGAATATTTTTGTCATTTTTGGTAAAAAGTGGTATTTTCGACTTATTGTTGAAAACCGCAGGTCCAATTGCTTTGATATTACATATATAGGTACTACATGTGGACCTCTCTCAGATTTGTTCATTTCGTAATGATATCTTCAATTCTCTAATTTTGGTGAATATTTTTGTAATTTTTGGAAAAAGTGATATTTTCAACTTCTTGTTAAAAACCGCAAGTCCAATTGTTTTGATATAACATATATAGGTACTACATGTGGATCTCTCTCAGATTTGCTCATTTTGTAATGATATCTTTAATTTTCTAATTTTGGTGAATATTTTTGTCATTTTTGGTAAAAAGTGATATTTTCGACTTCTTGTTAAAAACCTCAAGTCCAATTGCTTTGATATTACATATATAGGTACTACATGTGGACCTCTCTCAGATTTGTTCATTTCATGATGATATCTTTAATTCTCTAATTTTGATGAATATTTTTGTAATTTTTGGTAAAAGTGATATTTTTGACTTCTTGTTAAAACCTCAAGTCCATTGCTTTGATATATTA